CCGGGTTGGCTTTGCCTCCCCACCAGGTGCTCAATCACTGTTTCAGGCTGTGACTTGGCATTTCTGCTATAGTGGTATATTGACTGGCTACTGGTTTCTTGCAAACTTGATCATGAGTTTAAGGCACTCCAGTGTGAACTTTGTTTCAGAAATTACTGTCTTATTTTGGTGGGTGAAATAAGCATCTTAGCTGTGCCTTACTCTTAAATAATACTTCCTTCAATATTTCCTAAGTAGAAACAAAGTACAGATACAAATCATGGTAATAGAATTAACACATCAATAGAATGAGCACGTTTTAGCATACGTGTTAGTTTTTGGGTGCATCTGATGCTGAAATGCCCTCTGAAAGACTCTCCATTGCCTCTGAGTTGCTTCTGTCTCACCATATGAGCCTGAAGTAGTTCATTTTGAGCTCTTCAAGTGCACATTAGTACACTAGTAGCTTTTTTTTTTTTTACTTGCTTTATATTATGTGGAGTTATTGCTGAAGTACCTTGGGGTACCATCTTTTTCAAGAAAACTGTACCTCAGAACAGGCAGTTGTCTGCTTAGTTCTTTCCTTGTCCTTCTTTTGAAACTGAATCTGAATATCTATTTTACCATCTGGTTTAGTGTCCATCAGAGTCTTACATTGCTGGTGTATTTTCAGTCTCACACTATAAAGGATAAGACCTTGTCTAATAGGTTACTGAACACTGTTCTGTAATGCTGTGCACTGGAAGCCTGAATGGCATACACCAAAATGCCTGAATGTACTGGTGGAAATAGTGTTTGAAACAGGGCCTCTCCTCAGTATTTTGAAGGCTCTTTTAGTTGACTGATAATATGGCTTGTCCTGCCATCAGTGATGGAAAGCAAAAGCAACTTCATTTCTTTATCTTCATGATGAAACACTTACTGTTTTATCAGCAACTTTACAGTACAGTTATGTGCCACTTATGGTAAGAATCCATTCTAATACTCCTTCTCAAATACTAACATCCTTCCCATCTGCTGGATTACTCTCGTACTACTGACTGAAGTTTGAAGTTTACCTATGTTTGTGCAGTGTAGGTAATACTGAGATAACAGTTTTTTGTTTGTTTGTTTTATTAACTAAGTTGTTTAACTTCCCGTAGACAGCAAAATGATGTAAAGAATGCACAGTAGTGCTTTAAGGCAGGGTTTCCATGTTTTGCTCTTCTTTGTTTCTGCTCTCTTCCAACGTGAGTAGCATGAATTTGCATGTCAGTTCGGTTCTGATGCTTCCAGAATTCTGGAGTACTGATAGCTTGATAGCTTTTATTTAGTTTTGATTTTTTTAATTAGCATTAAATAGGAAGTTTGTAGAAAGAATGCATGCTTCTTAGAACTAATGTCTTGATATTTTATTTCTGCAGCAAAATGAAGATCCCAGCTGTTCTATTATGTAATATGGACATGGAGATGATCACTTGAAAACACTTCTAAACCTCAAGTGACATTTTGGACTTAAGTGTGTGGTGGTACCTTCTGCAATATTTGAAAACATCTTGGAATTTACATCTCCCATCTGACCTCTTTGTAAGAAAAACTGTCCATGACATAATGCCTTCTGATACTGTACCCTGTGCTGGAATCACTGAAACGAAGATCAGTAGAATACAAGCTCTGTAGGAAGCTCTTTTACTCTGCCACAAGGATTTGATTTCCATGACCTGCTGAAACAAGAGTGTGCACAGTTCACAAAGCTGTTTGATGCATGTCCTAGAAGGATGATAAATAATTGAGACTGAGCATAGGCTGTCTCAGCTTTCTCAATATTCTGGCATGCTGTTTCTCCAAAGGCGATTTCTGTTCCAAGCCAGAGTGGGTAACTACCTGTGCCAGATCATGTCACAGCTGGGATGTTGTGAGCAGTTGGCTGAAGTAACACATCCTGAAGAGTGCTGACTATGTGAAATGGTTTCTGCTTGTATCCTGATGCTGAGATGTCTAGATCACTAGCTGAAGAACTTCCTAGAGTAACAAAATTTTTCAAGTCAAATCAAACTGTGATGTATTCCTCTTGTTTATTAAATGTGCTGTTTCTTTATTCTAGTACATGGAAATTACCAACTGCAGTATTTCATGTGTCTAGATGCAGCATAGCTTTTAGTTCTGATTTGCTGGAACAATAACATTGACAGATATATCCTGCAAATGTGAAACATTCCAACAGAAGGTACTGTAACTAGCAATACTAGCACTCTGGTCCCAGAAAGCCAGCATTCCAAGTGGCTTGGAAGAAAAATAATGATAAAAATCAAAATGACAAAGGTGCATTAAAAATATTAGCTCTTAGTTGCTGTGTACTGAAGGTCTGACAAGGGCAGTCTGCAGTCCTGCTTTGTATGTCTAGCTGGGAAGTGGGGGCAGAGTGCTATCTGTTGGCCAGTACTTAATTTAATAGCTTTGTAGCTATCTGAAGGCTGACCTCTAGCCCTTAGAAACCATGTGGTCAGCCTTCATAATCCCTTCTTTCAGCATCTGTTTACCAAAATGCTTACCTGGTGGTTATATGGCAAAGAAAGAACCTCAATGAGCCTTGCAGGTCCTCTTCTCTTTAAGAGCATAAGCAGCTGATGTTGCAGATCAGTCAGTGCTGGCTTTTTTGTCTGCATCTGTTATCTTACCAAAATATTAAGTTCTGAGTTTTGAGATCTGTTCTATAGTTGGATGCAGTTATTAATATGAGGATTTTCTTACACTAGCTTAATGTTCTTAAATTAAGCTGTTTAGGTCTTTAAAAAGATGAAAACTAATGCTGATTTAATACATTTTATCAGTTTTGAACTCCTGTTATACCTTTTGCTCCATAGAGAAATAAATGTTGCTATATCTTTCTATATTTATCTTTATGTTGAACTTTTTATTGTTAAAGAGATTTTTCATGAACAAATATTAAAATCTAAGATATTTATAGGTAAATTAAATAAAAGTTGGTTTATTGATGGTTTTTTTGAGTAGCTCAAATGATTTGGAGTAATACAACTCCCTGTAGAGCTTTAAGAAACCTCCACCCCTCTACTATATTGTGCTGTTTGCATCCATCACTCAGTTCCTCAAATAAAGCTGAATTGTAATGAATTTCATTTAAGAGTAGCACTCAGTACTTTACATGACAACTCTAGACAAGGTAAAGATGGTATGAAGCAACAACCGCTGCGTGGGTCTTGATATAAAATAGCTAGAGTTGGTGTCAGAAACCCTAATGCTCATTAGGGTGCAGTTGCAGGGTGCTCAATAGGGAGCCACAGACTGCTGCAATGCATGCCAGATGTAGCTATGCTTCATGTTTCCTCCATGTTTAGATTTCTGATTTTATTCCAGTGACAAGGCTATTCTACCCAAGGCACTTCCTAAGTAATGTCATTACCAGGTTCAGAAGATCAAGCCATTTTGTTAACCATTCTTCTCCCTGTCTACTGCTTATTTACCAAAGCAAAATGCAGGTGGTGAACTCTAGTTCATAACAGCTTTACTTCTTGGCTGTGTGCACTCGAGCAATAGTCCTGTCACAGCTCCAACCCCAACCAACCCCAAAGCACAAGTAGAACAGCTGTACACTGAGTTGTTTGGTATTTAGCTGATAAGCTGTGAATCTTAAATACTTTAAAAGTCCAAACATTTTGTACTCAGACCATCACAGCTACTTTTGTTTAAGAACTAGGTTGGGCCAGGTTACTTTCTGTATTGCTGCTCTAATAACTACTAGTTACTCACTCGTGAACTTGGAAAACACCTAATACATCTCTGCCTTTCTGGGGTTATTTGCTAGTAATTAGGCAACTGTAGCCAAAGCTTTAAAGAACAGTCCTTTACTTCCTTTGTCACCACTGTATCAGCCAAGGTCAGAGATAGGAGAAACTGGAAGGGCATGGTTTGGATAGCTGGTTACAAGCTATTTATGTTTCTTACATGGAATAGTTACTGCACACACGGTACATGTGAAATTCTTTCCTCTCTCAGGAACACTGCTTCTGGACTACAGAACCAAGTAGAGCTTAAAACACTGAAACTGGATTCAAGCCCTTTTGTCTGTGAAGAGTTCTCTTTCCTTTTTTTCATTCCCCTATCTTGACCATAGAGTATTGGACAAGGTTGGAAAAAGATCATGTTTGTCTCAGGATGCTGAATTTTTCAGTCATTACTACATCCACATTTCCTGAGAAGCAGGAAAAGGCTAACAGAAGAATAATTAACTCTATATTCACTTTAACAGTGCTTAAGCCTGAGTCCTTCATTTTGAGGCCCTTTTTGCATGTTTCAGTTACAACATTTGTCTTTTTACCTCTGCCACTTTTCATCTTCATCATTCTCCATCCTTTAAAGAAACAGACAATAGCAGAAGTGTTGCTAACTTTCCATCTGTTTGCAGCCATGACCAGTGATACTCACCCATTTATCTCAATGGAGGTCTATGCAAGCGGTGGAGCTACAATCAGTTCACACTTGGTTCAAAGGACTCCTATTCTCCTGCTATAAGAAAATGTTAATAGATATTATGAGTGTCACACAGCCTGTGACAGGAGAGCAAGATTATTACAATTCCAGTTGCTGAGGTGCCATAAAACTAATAGTTTGGGGTATTTTTGATGTTCTTCCCCCCTCCCCCCCCATTGAAATGATTTATCTAGCAAGAGTGACCCTCCAACACAAAAATAAAAGCCAGAGCTACAGGAATAGAAGTGGCAACCACTCTTATCCCACCGACATATTTATTAAGTTTGGTCAGCAAATTATAGGAATCTTCAATTCTGAGAACTTGTACTTAGTACAACAACATCGTAATATTGACAACAATCACTTTGCCTTTTGTCAACATACAATGTGAAACATGGATTAACTTGTTCACAATAAATTACAGTGTGATAGATGGAAAGGGCTCAATGATATCAGTAACTTAGGAACTCATTGCAGTTAGCTTCACTTACAGTATTTATAAAAATTGTTTTCAATAGTAAAATCATTGCAACAAAAGACTTTTTTTTTTAAAAAAAAAAAAGGAAGAAACAAAACCATGTACAAGATTAGCAAATAAATGCATTTTGGGAGCAACAGTGAGCTACCAGTAAACACTTCATACAGTGATCTTCAAGGCACAAAGCAAAAAAACTGGGTATGGGTTTTTTTGCAGGTTGATGGTGTCAGGGAAGGTAAAATTTTTTGGAATATAAAATAAATACATTTTAAAAAGACGCATACAAAAGTCAGTAAGTCAGTCAAATAGCAAGGCTTTCACAGAATGCCACACTGACAACATTTGTGAATCCATTTCAGTCATGAAATCATGTTCACAGCTTGAATGACACAATCACTGAGGCAAGGGTACCATCACTTCAACATAATTAATTGGGAAGAAGCCAGACTCTCCATTTAACATCCCCTCATACCAATTCTCATCAATCTGATTGGTCAAAGTTATGATGTCCCCTTCCTTAAACCCAAGCTCGCCTTCATTTTCTGGTTCAAAGTCATAGAGAGCTTGGCAGCAGGGCTGATCCACGTGCATTGAAGAACCTGCCCCCGTGACAGAAAAAAAAAGCATTACAAGAGGCTTTGCAGAATTTCATTATCCACAAAACAAGAAATTAATAGGCTAGAAATGCAGCTGTCATGATTTTTGCACATGTGTATTTGCAGGAGCAAGGCTTCCAGGTGCTCCTGCATAAATGCTTCCTACTGCACTTTGCTTGAGCAGTGAGGGACATTTCTGGGTTACTGCTCCCCAGGTTCATGTGTTCAAGTCTTCTGCTATTCGTGTCCTTCATCTGAACTAAAGCAATGGTTATGCTAGTAATGGTGTTGCCTGACTAAGTCCTACAGATGAAAACAAACAGCAACTCTACCAACACAACCTGGCTGTTCTGTGACTTGCACTGCTTGCTCGCATCCTGTTATAACAATCTTCAAGCAACATTACTCTTAAACACAGTAGTAAGGACGTACATTTACAGGAAAAAAAAAACAAATGAAGGTAAAAAACAATCACCATGAGCAAAAGAAGTTAACTTCATAAATGCAGTCACCCAGTCACTGTCATGAAGAGGTGATTAACTGGTTTGGGTCCATGGCATAGACATGTATGTAGCACATTCCTTCATTCACACTTACAATAATGTATTCTAATAAAAGGTAATCCAGTGTTTAAATTGTAAAGCTCAGCAGACAAGGACTAGTGAGAGGTTCAATCACAGTTCAGCCATAACAGATTTTCAACAGTGTTGGCAGAATATCCAAGCAGAAGTCTGCTAATTTGAAATATACTTCTACATGAAGAATAGGAGGAAAGACCTCATGCTGCTGCCACATAAACTGCAGTAAAACACAGTACAGCATGACAACTCTTTTAACACTACTACTAGGATTACAGTGGTTAAACCTTTGAAGTTATTGTGGTTGTCCCACTTGTAACATCGCAACAACTCTCAAGCATCCCAGTGGTAGCTCAGTTATCATGCTGGTAATCCTGTGGTCAGCCTGAAGACTAATTTTTGTCTGCATCGATACAGCAATGCGGATAAAATGGCTAAGGTGTTAAAAACACTGGTCATGTTTTCTGATCTTCTAATCACAGTAATGTACAGGAAACTACTGAAAAGTAACTGCTGGTATTTTCTAAGAACAGGGATCAGAAGACTTCTAGGAAACACTTATTCTGCTGGTCAGTAATAACATTTGGTGTTAAAATTGGGAAGTGGGAATTAATTTTGTTTGGGGATATGTTCTATCCTTTATAATAAAGGTTCTTTTCTCCTGTTCTAACAATGCAAGAGAGCTGTCAACACAAAGGCCCCCTTCAAGTAAGCCATCCCAGGATACTGCTGAAACAAAGCTGCACTTGCTCTCTGCCTGTGGAAAGCATGGGGTAACAACAAAGTTTCACAAGAGCAAACTGAATTACGGCTTGTCCAATACAATGGTGCAGGCCAAAGCTTGTTTCAAGACATATTTCTGCTGAAATAGTCCATTGACAGAAAAGATGATAAGCCACAGTTTTACAACAAAAATGGACTGACTGCATTCAAAAATAGCTGAGCTATTTCCAGAGTCTCTGCCAAGGTAGAGCTGATACCAACTCACCAGAACTGTCAGCAGCAGAAGGCAGCGCTCGGAATAATTGACAAAGTTCCTCGCCTTCACCAGCTGCTCCGATGGGGCTAATTTATTATTGCAAGTCAGTTCAAATCTGACAGCAAGGTACCCGATAGGAGATGGATCACATTTGGTTCAATTTAAGTTCCAAAGGACTGAAAAGAAGTGTCTGGCAGCCTGGAAAGATTTTAAAATAATGGTCACAGCCAATACGACCGGTTTCACTCCAGGCTGTTGGATCAGTCAGAGTCTTCATTAGAATCAGGCAGCTGCTGCTACTGTATAATCCAATGAGACAAAGCTTCCCTGACAAAAGTAATGGGGGCAGCGCTGCTTGACGATCTGCAACACACTGTTTAACATCACAGAACTGGTGACATGACTGCAGCCTTTTCCCATCTATTAAATACTTGCTCTTCTTCTGTTGCAGAGACTTAAGCTAAAGAAATAACACTTTTTTTTTCCCTGAAGGCAGGTTTTACGTTAACTTGCAGCACCAGGCCCATCTCCTTAATTCTGCCACCGTGGAGATAAATTGTCACATTTCACTGTGTTCAAGGATGACCAATCATAGTACACAGATCACTTAAACCTGGACAGTACAAACGGAAAATACAGCACCAAGCAGGCTGAGCAAGTAGCTGTCTGTGATTTCTGAAGCATCACAGGATAAAACCAGAGCAATGAGTGTTGGTTTTTTTGTTCTTGTCTTTCCAAAAGGAGTTACTCCCATACCTGCACATACTCCTCTTCTACACCAAGATATATGTATTTGGTAGCAATTACACTTTAATCATCAGGAGCTGGAAGCTTACAAAGATAATTAGCCCCAGTCTCCCTCACAGCTGAAGTGTGTAAACATTTAGATGCCTATGTTAAAATCCAGCACATGGCAACCAGACCCAATTAGTTTATACCACAGTCCAACCCGACAAACAAGAAGAATGAAATGCATGATGTAACACAGCATTTAAGAGTTCTAGAGCAGATGATGCTCACAGCCCCAGCTGATTAATGAGGGTAACAATGAATTAGAATAAAAAAATTGGAATAAAAAATTGATTTATTCTCTGTGCTTAATCAAAGTAACTAAATAATTTACAACATTAAAAAGACGTTTCTGTACACATTTGCAGAGCTGGAGTCACAGGTCATTAGTAGTGAGTAATCCCCACGTGTTAGGAATTGCATAAAGGAAAATACCATTTCTGCTCTGAGAAACTAATACTTAACCTAGACAGCTATAGTGAAACACAGGAAAAGTCATTTCAACACTCAGAACTGGATCATGGTAGTTGTGAATGTGTCACACCTTACTTTTAACTGTTCAGTTGATATTTGTGAGCTCACTGAATGCTAAGATACTGCTACCTTCAACGATAGCAGCAGGGAAATTAAAGGTCAACATCTTAGTAGAGCCAATGTGTAAACAGGGGAAGTTGGATGTGTTGGATGAAGCTTTCTAAGCAGAAGAAGAGGATGATTATGATGCTATCCCTCCATCATACGGAGATCTTACAACATTGTGCAGAGTTGTCCTTCGAGCCACCTGGTTCACATTTATAAATCACAGACCACAAATCAAATCAAATCTGTTTCACAGTGTTAAGCAGCAAGAGGAAGGCTCTCCATTTACAAGCAGGGTACATTCACCCCACTATAACTCCACAGAAATTCATGTGGACAACAGAAAGAAAGAAGATAAATAATGATTTCAGGAGGCAAACAGAATCCACAGCTTTATAATCTAATGGAGGAAAAAAAAACTACTGAGTCTAAATCTTTCTAATACTAAGTGAGATTAATTTAAATCTTTATACTATTAACAACACTAATTGCAGCAACTGAAACTATATTTTTCCCATACTTCCTCTTTCTCTCTTTTATGACTATGTTTTCTTTTCTGTTCTGAGAGTACTGACTGAGCCAAGCAGTAAGTGAAAGCCCATCATTAAAAGCAAGCAGCTGCTGCTGTAGTGTATGAATGGAATCGACAAATGGAACTGGCTCACTCCTTTCCCACCTTAGTGATCAGTGGCCGTTCATTTTTCAGTTCTTTCAGTAAATTTTAGCTCATAAAAACTGCCTTTTTTTTTTTTAAAGTAAGCAAGGTGGCAGCATCCTTGATCTGTCACCACTCACCACAGGCATAAGGGAGATAGGGCAAAAAAATTTATTCATGTGGAAATGTGGAAAAGTTGCTTCAGTGAGTAGTGGTAACCATGCTCATTATTACAACTTTCACACACAACTTTCATGGGCTTTCAATAGTTATTCCCATTTTTTCTTCATTTTTTTTTTCTCTCCCCTTCCTCGATAGAACCAGGCTCTGACCACAAGAAGGAACCCTACTACCACAGCAAGGGATATCTAACAATCAAGGAATCACAGATTAGCTTGGGGGAGAAGAGATCACTGAGTTCCAACCCCTGCCACAGCCTGGTTCCCACCCACTAGATCCCTTTAATCCAGGCCTGCATCCAACCTGGCCTTGAACATCTCCAGTAATTCAGCTAAAAAAACGCACACATTTCCGTGCATATTTCAGGGGAATGAAAGGACATTAAAGTAAATTATGTTAACAAAATTAGTTAGGCCAAAGTTAGTCTCCCTGAATTCTACATGGCTAATAGTCAAGATCCTGAGCTGATCACTTACACAGAGAGTGTTGAGAGAAATTAGCAGCTGGAGACTTTCCAGACAGTGATCTAACACACCCAATTAGGCATCTGTCTTTTCAAGAAACAAAATGCTTTCTGCAAATGATTCTCTCTCTTCTTACCCTTCGTGGCAACACAAAGAACCTAAAAAGAACCAACAGAGTGCCACACCTCAAATTCAGATGGTAAAAGATGGAAAGAGGAACCCTGGCTTCACAATTTCATTTCCAAACCTGGGGAACAAACTGGAGTCAAATACCTGGATACAGATACGCTATGAATCCATCATTAGCGTGATACAAGCAGTGCAACAAGCAACAATCTGGTACAAAAAGCCACCAAAATGTGAAGTCTGTGGCCACAGGCTTACCTGATGACTTTATAGAAGAGCTATAAGCAATCCCATTGTGCTGCTGATTATCACCAGTTTCCAGAGTTGTAGTTATTACAGGTTTGGGCTTAAATTCACGTTTAGGCCGACTAGATGCTACATTTATTCTGGAACACAGAGAAGAGTGGCAAGAGATTCACTCAAACAAATACAGTTTCCACCCAGATTCAGTACTTTTGTATTTGAAGGGTAAGGAAAAACCTTTCTGCTGTGGACTTTGGACTTGTATTAGATTTTTTGGAGGAAGGTGTGAGGAAATGTTATTCACTAAACGGTGCTCAGTTCTAATGCACATGAGTTTCAGCAAGGCCCTATTTTATTTAATGCTATGATCCTGCTGACAGAGGTAAAAAAGCTTAACAGCCTGAGTCTGAGAAGTGCTGAGCATCCACAGCTGCCACTGAGTTCAGCAGAAGTTCCAGGAATGAGCTGTCTGGAAAGCTCAGCTGTAAATGACATATGCAGAAGCCCAGCCAGGACAGAGGCCCAGTGAATGCATCTCACATGGTGCATTTTCATTAGAGAAAAAAAAAAAAGGGGGAAATAATCATTCGAACAGCAAATCTGCCACAGCACCTCTTGCTACATGTGCATGTGGCCCTACTGAGACCACCCCATTACAATGGCCCTTCAGCTGGAATGTTGCAGGGTATACAGGTACTGCTACTCCCATATGGTACTCACATCCATCACTTCAGTTCTGTTCTCAGGAAAGTCTCAAAGAAGTTACGTGACTCTGACTGTACTACTAGTCCATGCTATAGCAGTGCTCAAGTCATTAAGGTCTCCTGTTCCCTGTTGCTTTTCTGAGTGACGTACAACAAATTAATGACAGCACCTTTCTTCCTATTAGTGTGACACAAAATATCTGGCTTTTCACAAGTTCATTACATCACAACTGTATTCCTCGCCAACTGGCACGTTCTTTATTTTGCTGCAGAGTTTTGTTATGCCCATAATCTCAGTGAAAACAGACCAACTGCCCAGCAAAGACTCCAAAACAATGTTCAGAAAGTATGCAAGTTTAAAAAAAAAATCTACAAACAACCGGAGGCTGTCCTACTTAACTGCTGCAGATGTGAGGGGGAGAGTCTGCACACTCTCAAAGCTTGCTGGAGAGACCCCATGGCACATTAAAGGCTCACGGTCCACAGTACATTGCCAGGTTGTAACGTTTTAAAAACAACGAAGCCCAGCAGGGCACAAGAGCACAGCAAGCGTGCATCTGTTGTGCTACAAGATCTGCTGCTACCAGATCTGCTGCTTCTGTGACTTTTCATATTCAAGAACCTGAACTACAAAAGAGACTCAAAGTTTTCTTACGCGTTCAGTCTTACCGGTTTTGCAGCTTGCTCTGCAGATCCTCCAATATTTCTGTAGATTGTTTGTGGTAATCTAGTGCTGCTTCTACAAACACAGCCAACTGGCTAACTTGCTCTACCTGAAAGACAGAGAGCAAACAGTTTTTAAGAGCCTGCAGTACCTTCAGCTGAAAGACAAACAAACATCATTCAAAACAGATTTGGTATCTCAAAAGACCGTGATACCATGTGGGACTACTGAAAAAGAGCATATGTGATTTTATCAAAGGAACTGCCAGTTGGAACCTGAACAAAACTGAGGTGTAACTTCTAGTTCACTAACTCAGGGCTGGGTCCTTAAGTCATTTCCTTTCACAGTGCACAAATCCTTTTTGCTTTCAACTTCCAAGCCAGCTGTCTGTCAACACCCAAGGCTGAAAGAGTTGCAGTGCACAACCCCTTAGCAGGTGAGAGAGGAGCCTTCCTGATCAGCAATGCTGGGACAAGTTACACTGGGACAACTCTTGTGACTCAGACCCATTAGTGCTTATTAGCCATGTTTATGAAGTACAGTTCTGAAATCATCTGGACTTACCTCACTAGATGGCAGCATTTTATATGTAAACCGATAAATGAAACATGATTTATCTGCTATTATCCAAACCTACTTGAAGAAGTATCAGCAAGTCATTCAAGTGTATGAATGCTAAGGAAGGATGTGGAAGAGAAAAAACAAAGAAGGTAATAACCTCATTCCTCTTCCCCGGTGCAAACTGAAAAGTTTAAGATGTACTACCAGGGAACAACAGCAAATATTTATTTGTTCTCCTTTTTTGCACTTTTCCTTTAAGACGAGGAGGAGGACAGAGCCCAAAAGTCTGATATGTTCCCATTCCACCATGTCTTCACATGCTGGATCACAAGAAGGTGTCTGTGAAAGCTTTCTGTTAAAGTTTTATGGACCCATGGCAATTTTAAGCTCTACTTTTTCTGCTTTTACTCAGTTAAAAACATTATTAGAAATTCTGCTGGGACTCCTAGAGAGCCAAACATCATCACACAGCATACAGAAATCAAATGCAGAACCAAATTAACAGCTGATACAAGTCCATCAAAATCAAGACAGTAATGTAAACCAGCTGAGGATAACACACAATGTGCCTGGGGTTTGCATGGGGTGGTTGGAGAAAATAGACAGACAAGGACTGTCAAGACAAGATGAGTGAGAGCTGGGAGGAGTATGGGGACTGGGAGAAAAAAGAGTGACTGGGAAAGAGCCAGAGAGACTTGTGGGACTAAAAGGCGTTTAGCTTGAGGAGCCTGAGACTGAATGAGTGGGAAAGGCAGGAAGATGGATCCGATAAGAAATGCATGCAAAGTGTCGGTGTGGGAGGTCTGGAACCAGCAGTGCAAAAAAAAAAATAAATAGAGAGAGAGCAAGATGTGTGAATCAGGACTGTGTTTGGGTGAGGCACCTGGCAAGGTGTCTGAGAACCAGAGCATTGAGAACAGAGAATGCAGGGAAACAGAAAGAAAGGGAGACACTTTGGGAACATGGAAGGACAGTTAGGAAGTGACTGCAATCAGAGTCTCTGCAAACCAATGAGAAAGACTGTGGTTAAGAAGGCTGGAATGAGAAGTTTGAGGGTGGGAGGCAGATGGGGTCAGCATGGAACATCAGAAGGAAAGAGCGCAGTTTTCTTGAAAGATAAGCAAAAGAAAGTGAGGATGGAACAAGACCTCACAGGGACACCCAGTTCAACTCGCTCCGAAGGCAGATTCATTCACGCTGGTAAGTCATTCCTGATCAGTTCTCTTGTGGCTCAGATAATTCACTATAAATCCATGCGCTGCTTCATCTTTTTGGTTTGGCTTTGGCTAATGATAAACACCTGAAACACTTCTCAGCTGCTTATGCAAAGAATTATAAGACACACTGGCAACTTGGTAGAGCCTACAGTGGGACACCAGGAATAGTGCACTGAAATTATTTATAGAGGATGATTAATTTTTGCTGCCTTCATATCATTTGTGCTGGTAAAATGGCAAGACAGTTTTTGACTTACACACGGCTGTAGCAAACGCAGCCCACTCACAACAGCTTGGGAGCCACGGGTTAGTTTATAGCTGGCTGATATGCAGTTAGACAGAGAGGTTGCTTGCATTGAAATGATTTTACTTAACAGCTCCTCCTTTTTGCTTTTGTCCTTCGTATTTCAGCCAAAATATATATATTTCTATATATATATCTACATCTATATTTGTATCTGATGGAGACTTATTAGAAGAAAAGGATATCCTGTATTCTGCCTACAGATAATAAAATGGCCTCTAAAAGCATCTACCCAGCTTATTCTCACCCAGTTCCATCATTAACACAGGAAGAGAGCACACTGCTATTTTCTGTATGTGCACTGAAGAGAGGGATTATCCTAAAGACCACAGCTGTTAATTATTTAGACATAATTTCATCGTGGACTTGGAATCTGAGCCAAAGTTCAAGTACCTGAGCACAACCCACATAAACTTTATGCAGTAATTTTTAGAACCAAAACGTAGTTGTAATTTGTGGAGTCCAAATCACCCAGATCCTTCAGATCAGCAACAAATTTTTCTGTATAAGTGAGCCGCTCCTGAAAATCAGTGCAGGTTACAAATCTCTTGCTCCCAGTTTAAGCAGCAGCTCTGTGACTGTGTTAGTCCCCATTCTTCCTCCCACTCATCTCCCTGCATTCTGTTTGCAGACAGTTCACTGCTCATAGATAATAAAGACACATGAAACCTCTGTGTCAGCCTTGTCCGACCTGCTGAATTCTTGAGTTCTCCCATGTGCTGCTGTGCACAAAGTTCCTCTCCAAGACAAGGAGAAAGGCACATTCTCTGCCTTCAGTCCTTGCCTTCTATAAAGGATGAGACAAGCTTCATCCAAACGCACATGCATTTCCCATCTGGATATACCGCTGTAAACAAAAACGAAGGACAGACTTACATCATTTTCTAAGAAATTGAACATGCTTCTTTCAGCTAGTTCCTTTGACTCCTCAAATTTTTCTACAGCTTGTTTAACTTCTTCATCTGGTATCTTTCCAAGACGTTTCTTTTTATAATCATAATCCAAACGCCGTCCTTCCAGTTTCTTCAAATGATGCTAAATAAGACAGAACATTTAGAAGAAGGTTCAAATGAGACTGGCCAATACAAACTCATTGTGATTTAAGGAAGTCTCAGCTATGGACGTGATTACAGACATATGCAGAACCAAAAGAAACAGCAGGCTCAGAGATTACCAGCCCAACCCTTTGATCTAAGGCAGCATCAGGTATGTCCAGGACTGCCTACATGAATACAATTTTAATTTGTATATACTTTAAAAAACCAGCCATCTGCTAAGGCTCAGGAAACTGGCTACCTTGATTTGCTAAACTTAGATTTGGAATGGACTTTACTAAAATGTACATCATCTCAGATTGGATCCTGCTTCTAATTTAGAACATCTGAATGTGCCACCCCCTGCCTCCCCTGTTCTATACTTAATTCAATTTTACCTCTTGTATTATATGCAATATGACAGCTAACAGTTAAAGCGTTATTTTCTCTTCTCATTCCCTAGGCAGTACTCCAACACATCTTATATTCCTACTGTCTTCGTTAGGTGTCAACTTGACACTTCTATCTGACATCACTATGCAAGCTTTCTGTTGCCAAAAACCATGGGACTGACAGTCTTACAGAATGGACTGAGTGTGAGAGTAAAAAACTCATTAAAGCTAACATCAAACAATTCCTTTCTATCAGTTCAGAAGAACTACAGCTGAAAACAGTTACATGTCATAAGAGACAGCTACAGGCATCAAGGCACAGTTACTGCCTTTTGCTATGCTTTTCACTTCCATTTACGTGTTAACAAATAAACCAACTTTTATTTCTGCATTTCATCAGGGTTTCAACTTGCTTATTACCAAAGCCTATTGGAATCAACAGACTTAGATGAGATTGCCTGCTTTCTTTTGAATTGTCATTTTGTAAACAAAACCTCACTTTAAAGGTTAAAAATATGTTCCTCACCACCCTATATTTTTTCCCATAGTGGGATATGGCACCCAGCAATTGATGGCACTTTTCAGATCATTCTGTGATTGCTCTGAACAGCCTTCTTCAACAATCATATTCAGCCTTTATAATAAACAGCTATAGGTGACAGAGGCAGCAAGACAGAATAATCGAAGTAAATCGCAGCCTACTCACGTGTTCAAATCAATTAATAACAAGTGTTGGTTGAAACAAAACAGTAGAAAAGGAATATATTTTTCTTCACTACTGAATGCATAGGCAACATAACAAACTGGTAAAAAACAGCCAGACATTGATTGTAAGCAGATTTCACCACTACTTTGCTAGAGAAATAAGCTTAAATGTAATGACATTTATTTACCTTTAGGCGTCCAAAAAAACCTCCCAGAGAACTGGAGCCTGATTGACTCTGATTATTGGTAAATGAAGCTTTACTCTGCATAAACTTACCCCAATCTCTTTTAAATCTTTGTCCTGCAGTAACTGTAGGGGATCAATGAAATTTTGTTTGACATTAATATCAAGCGAGTCCTTCACCTCTGCCATTTGCTTCATGCTTTCACCAGCATCCAGCAGCGCAAGGCCTATGGTAAACAATGTGCTACTTATATCTCAGTATACACGAAACAACAAATGCATCTTATAACAAAACTCAAGTGGGCACCTTTGCACTTGCTGTAGCCCTTGAAAAGTGAAAAATAATGCACTTGCTTTTCTCCTACATAAAATTAGTACTGGAAAATTCTGCTCCAAAGCATACCCTGTGTTCCTCTCCCCATCTCCCTTAAGCCCTTCAAAAAAAAAACAAACAAAACCCACATCTTATAATACACTTCTTTTAAGGAGGTATATTTGCGTCTGCTGTAGGCCTTTGGAAAGTAATTGCCTTTCCCTCTCCCTCCTCCACCTCATCAAGAAAATCTTTACTTCCCAGATACCATAGAACTGCCTGGGTTGAAAAGAACCTCAAAGATCATCCAGTTTCAACCCCCCTGCTCTGTGCAGGTTGCCAACCACCAGATCAGGCTGCCCAGAGCCACATCCAGCCTGGCCTTGAATGCCTGCAGGGATGGGGCATCTGCAACCTCCTTGGGAAACCTGTTCCAGTGCATCACCACCCTCTGTGTGAAAAACTTCCTCCTAATATCTAACCTAATACATTGCATATATAGAATGCTCTAAATTATTCTTTGGCAAATTAGAAACAAAATATTTATCTTAATAATATCAACTATGAAACAGAATTAGTTACAGATAGAAATCACCTGCAACAGTGGTGGACAAATACACAGACGCATTAGGTATTATTATATCAATCATTCCCTAATCACTGTACTTAGCTTGCTCTCTTACCTGGATTAGCTATTTACACAGGTTATATCAATGACTAATATTCTGTGAAGAACTTTATACGGAAATATTCTCAAAGGAGGTGCACAAACTCACCAAACATAGAATCATCGCCAAGCTCTCTGCCATACCGTATCATGCAGTCTCCTAGGAGTCCTTCTGTCTGAGGATAGCCTGTAGTTTTAACTTGTCCTCTTATCTTTGACATAGTGTTCAGCATTCCCAGCTTGGCTCTGTATGCTAAAAAGGACATGAACATGAAAAAGAACAAGAGTTATAGAAACAGTTTTTATATTAATATATTTAAAGCAATAAATCATTTAACAAGCAGTCTCACAAAGCAAGTCACTGAACTGGTTTGTATAGACCCATAAACCTTTTGCTGTCATATTTTTCATATTCAAAAGCTGAAGTAAGATTCCATTCAGCAGTGAGGGTCATATGAAATTGCTTTATTCTCAGCTGGATGGGCAACATTTCTCCAGACCGATACACAGGGGCAATGTTTCCTGCCTTTTTGGATATTCACCAATATTCACATTCCCCTGGCTATTTCTGTTTGTGAAGTCTATTAAAAACACCACAAAAAGAAAACACAGAATGGGTTCATAAAAGTACAGCCAACTCCAACTTCATGCTCCGGCTTATGAGGACTTTGTAGGACTTCTTTCCCCCACTGTTTTAATGGTTCCAATACTCCAGACTGATTTTTTTATTCTTGCAGAAAGGACAGATGCATGCAAATTACTTTATTTTGGGGCTGCTCATATCACGACAAAACCATGTGGTTATTCTTGGAATGTTTTCCAGTCTACTCCTATTATCAACTCAACAGCTACTTCAACATAGTAATAGCCAAGAGTAGGACAATTCCTAAGAAATGTGAGCATGGATGCTCACTAGCTGCATCTTGAATACCCCAGCTGGGCCTTGCTGAAGTGCTGAATACTCTCATCATGTTGTAAGTACAACCCGCTAGTTGCTTCTCCTGTAGACATTAGCAACATATTGAATTTCTCTGGTGATGTGCATCTTGTAAGGTACCCAAAACAAACATCTATCTCTTAAATCACCACATTCAGCAGAGTAAACACGAATTCAGTCAGACAGTTCTCAAAAAAAGAAAAAAGAAAGCTCTTCCAACTGATAGTTTGGACAGTAATTCCAACTCTTAACAGATAATCTTTGTGATCAACAGTAAATGTAGATGTGTTGTCTTTCTCAAACCAAAATTTTAGAAACCTGTTAACTGACTACCAGAAATCCACTCAGACCTTGCAGTGTCCAGAAAAAGCAAAGCTTCACTCAGACACTGGGCAGGAATGTAACAGCCCTGTTCCCCATAGCTACATAACCTGCAGTACCCCTGATGTCAGCAGTGCATGAGTTAAATTCAATGGCATTCTCTTCACTTCAGGGATCCACATCCCACTGCAGGAAATGCAGCACAAATAGGAACGCCAGTAGTGCTGTGTTTCCATGCCAGACCATCCAATACATGTCACACACACACAGCCTACACGTGCTCAGTAAGCCCCACACAGTGTGCATTCCTAGCTGAACACATCCCGGGATGCATGAATACTTTCTAGTTTCACTGTACAGTACAGTTCTTTGTACACATAGGTGAGGTACTCTGGGACATCCAGAAGCCTCACAGTAATAATCCAATCAGCTTTTATCCACTTAGGATGAAATCTGGAGTAACAAGATAATTTTCAGCAAAATTTGACCCCTACTGTTAGTGCAGTACCTGGATTTGGCTGAAGATATTCTGTGGATTTCGACAGAAGCTCTGCCACAGCTTTGTTTGTAACATCAATTTTCTGAAAAAGATAAGTAACATAGTTAGTAAAAGTTTGATTAAATACCCTATTCTAGCTGCTTATGAAAATATATAAAGCAAATCTGCTTGTGACAAGATTGCACCAAAAATACATGAATTGGCAATTAGCACTCCGAAGGAGCAAACGTTTCTATTAAAACAGGGGGAGCTACTTATCTTTCAGGCTCATCAGTCCTGAACACTGCTTATGCATTCCAGACTGTGTTTTCCTGCCAGCCCAACAGTTGTTACTATGACTGTTTCTCTCACCAGGTGAAAAAGATCAAACATAGCCTAGCTCACAGTCTTGGGGTCAGGGCCATTTAAATCAGGAGTTTACACTGTCTTCCCATTTATGTTTTTAAGCGCTATAAAAATCTTTTATGTGCATTGTTTCCCTTTTTCTGCAATAGCAGAATGTTGAAAAACACATGTTGTTTTCCTTACCCTTTCCATCTCTTGAAATTCTTCATCTAATTTCGTTCCTTCTGCTCCACTTATCTTCTCACTGAACAGCTGTAAAAAGAAAAGTTGAACAACAAAAAATTGTTGTTTTTTTTTTTTATTTTATTTTTTAGATAATAAACATCTGTGAGAGTCACAAGAATTCACCTCAGGTTAGAAAACAATGCAGCAACCATTTGTAACAACTGTGCAAGAGAAGCCTTCCTCGTGGAAACAAAACACTGATTTCAATAGAAATAGAGAGGCTTGGTATGAATTTACAAAAATTTCACTGAAGTGATGCTGCTAAACAAAAAATGACTTTCGTGCTTCACAGCTTGTACCCTAAAGCCACAGCCAACACAGCATATTTCAGACTCTGTGACCAGAGTGTGAGAGTAACCCTTCGGGGCACATTTTTCCAGCTCTACCTCTAAGAGCATTCGGGTCCTGTATGCCATTAAGTGTAGGGGTAAAGTCCCATTCCTCCTGATGGGAATAACACGCTGTGCAGTTCTGTGGATGGAACAGACTTGTGAAAACTGCTGCACTGTGATCACTTGTGTGACTGAGCATGTTTATGATACTGAAAATAAAAATGCCACACATCCTTCAGAAACTCCGAGCATTAGTTTGAAATAGAGGATTTCAATAAACCTTCTTTAGACAGCTATAACATTATCCAACTTTGTACGAAAAGCTCCAGGCCATCAGACAGCAGCCCTAGGTCATGGCTGGGAATCAACACTCAAGCAGCACTCGGCTGTCTGTTTCCTGCAGTGCGGGGCACCTGTAATGCAACAGAATGAAGAAAAACCAGGCAGATCTGTGTGAATCAGCCTTTGAAGCATCATTCCATGATGATACAAGTGGTAGAACACACATTCAACAAGTTTAAATCAGAAATTCCTATTCTGGCAGGAATTATCCTGGTAGACTGTAGTTTTAATGGACTCTTAGCACTGACTGTTCACAGCTGGTTTAAATCTGGGCCTAACTCCTTGACTGAGGCATCACCAAACATGCCCCAGTCACGCGTCTTGCTCATCCTCAGCACCTTCTAAAAGACAATTTATCTCACTGTATTAAAAGGGCCTTGGGGACTTGCACAATGTGAAAATAGGTCATGGATCTTTGCAGCACAGCACTTCTCTTCTGCACGGCAGCCTGCACTGCACAGGTGTGCTGGGAGCGTGCTGCCTGCCCAAAACCCAGTCAGGAGCTGATGAAGCAGAGCTGGAAGCTGACCTTGCACCAGTATCACTGCTACCACACAGCCAAAAATTATACCTGCTTAAGGGAAAGTGTGAGTTCAGAGAGAACCACAGTGCTAATTACTTCTATAGCACTCGTGATTGTTATGCTTAATATGCCAAAGTCTGGAAACTTCAGGAGATTACTTATTTTCCAGAGCCCTGACAGAGCAAACACAAGAGCACACTAAGATGAAGCAACACAGGTAGCAGTGAGTCCTTACAGCCATCACCTTGCTGCTGCAAAGCAGCACCCCGGAGAGGCAACCCGAGGTCACGCGTGGAGGGGACAGTGCCCAGATCTCTGCAGGTGCATCTGAGGATATGGGATCAGATGGAGAGAGGTGCTCTTACAGAAGGTGAAAAGCAGCCCAGCAGAAACTGGGCAACTTCTCAATGCTGTGGCAGTGCATCCCTTTTCTGTGTGATGTAAATTCCTAAAATTATCAGTGCTGTTTTTCACAGCTTCACACGTCTTGTATCTCTCCAGCAGGCACTGAGCAGATCAGTGGTTTTCTTCTGGCTGGGGGCAGCAGGGGAATTATCCTTCTTCAGCTGAAGCTCAGAAATCCGCGTTCAGTACCTTCCCAAAACTATCTCATTGCAAATAATCCATCTGTGTGTTGGCAAAGAGTAAATGCAGTGCTGTAGCACAATTGCTCAACTGTGAAAGAATAATTAATAATAAATTACCGCTCCAAATGACAACAATGAAGCTTTGCATTCTTGGGAAGAACTGGACATTTCAACAAGAAGCACAGTGAAGGGGTAGAAAGTTCACTCGCTACTGGCATTGACAGAGAGCAAACAAACAAACAGAAAAGCCCAACAACTCCATTGAGTCACTGGAAAACCATCGGCTTCCTGTGCTCTTTTGCAGGACTGCAGCCACAGAGCTGAGGTTCCCAGTGGGAGCAAGGCCATGCTGCCAGATGCCATGGCACTGAGCTGCGCTGCCCGCCTCTGCCTTCACCTGCTCACATACTGCCCTGCATGGGTACTGCTGGTTTCTCTTCTGAAGCACTGCAAAACTCCTCTCTGTGTTTGTAACGGAGAGAAAAACTACTTGCAGCAGCCCTGAGTCACTTCTTATGAGAGAATCTTCAGGCTTGTAGAACCTGCAGGAAGCGAGCAGAGCACTTAGTCAGGTCCAGAAGGTCACGGAATAGCTGAGATTTTCTACGCACCAGCTTGCAGAATATCTCGTTCTCCAAATCTACAGTCATAGAATGACTTATGTTGAAAGAGACCTTAAATATCATTGAGCTGCAACCTGCCCAGGGCCCCCACCCAACCTGGCCTTGGGCACCTCCAAGAATAGGGCACCCAGAGCTCTGGGCAGCAGTGACTGGGCCTAGGAGAGGTTAAGTGAGTACCGTTAAGTGAGTACCAAACAGCCTGCTCTGAAAGGAGCTTCCCATGGGAGGCTGCAGCAGAGGCTCCTGGAGGGCCCTCTCAACATACCTGGCTGATTCTAAACCCACGCTTACAGGGAAGTGCAAATACAACTGTCCAGATTGATTCCTTAGAGTCCATAAGCTGTTCTGAGCTTCTGACAGTAAGAATTGTTGTAAAATTCTAATGGCTATCATTAGACTTTACTATCACATCTTATTTTGTATTGGTATCACCAGAACTTGCTTTACTATTCTCAAATTCAGAAACAACAGCTTCTTCTCTGATCGTACTGAATTCAGGAATTGTAAAACTTGTACTACTATTCTTTCAATTAAAAGTCATAGGATAACCAATTATTGAAAATGGATACATAAATGGAGACAGCTGCTGAGCTTTAGTTGTCTGTCTGCTAAGCATCATTTAGTTGCATTGTATCAAGCCTCAAAATGCTTTGAACCTAAGTTGGCATGCTTCTACTACAGAGAGGTGTAATTACGAGGGAATACCTATCATTTTTTATGTGACAACTCAAAGGCAAAACTGCAGCTGGCACATAAAGCACACACTTTGCAGGGAAGCACACACTTCTGTATGGGAAGAATCCTGATCTTTACCTCCAGTTTAGGGAACCAGGTGCCATGGTGCTGCACCCCAGGATGGGGACAGAGCCAAAATGCTGGGCCTCTGAAAAACCCACTTCACACTACAGTGGCCACCATTACCTTGCTGCTCCTTTGCTGGGCCTGAAGCTAATGCCTTCCATTGGTCATGCTTCTGGTGAAGCTCACTAGAGTTTCTCTAGGTCAATGTTTGTGCCCAGAAAACAGCTCCACACCTATGAAATGATAAAGATGTCTTCCTCTCAGGTGTTGGTTCTGCTCCCTCCATCACACTCGATTTGCTAAGACTTAGGTACCACAACAGCAAACCACCACGTAACAATCCACTACAAAACTTGTAGGCGCTGTTAAGACAGAAGACCTTTTTGAATTAAGAAACAGTACAGGTTGTACACAAGTGATCCTTGGCTGTAACTTCTTGTGAGAGCCTACTACTCCTTGTAGCAATGAAGAATTGAACAGGATGTTGTATTTGATAATCTAAAAGAGCTTAAGGGCTCTATGTGGAACTTTCTGGGAAGGCAAGTCTGAAGAAAAAAAGGAGTTTGGATAAAAACACCTCAGCTATTATTTCTATTTGAGCTCTGTATCCAACAAAAGGCAAACTGCAGTTCTGTTAGTCTTAGAAACCTGCAAATATCTATTTTCTAAGGCATTTCTATTCCAAATTCTCTGAGAGAACATTTTTTCCATAAACATAATATCCAGATTTTATTCTCACATCTCTTTTTTACTTTAATTTCTTTGAGGTAATGTCATTTTCTTCTCTCTTCTTGTAATGAAGCAAGGGTCTATCACACAAATTGTCTTCAGTTTAAACTGAAGCCCACACCTCAACAAAACTGAATGAAAAAGGTCTCAAGGTCCCATCTAATTTTCACTGCTTTTTATTTGAAGTATGTTAAGATTTATTCCTCTTAACCGCACAAGAATGGTGAACTTTCCATTCTCACAGGGGGTTGTGAAAATGCCCTTCAGAAAAAAAATGCTGTCTTATCCAACGCTTTCTATATTGCATCCACTAAATTTAAACTCTATTCTCTTCTGCATTTCACTAAGGAAGGTTACTGAATGCCAGAAACTGCCAAAAAGACTGAAGACAAACAGAGAGCTGATAAAAATCTCAGAACAATTACCCTATTTCTTATATATCCACTGGGCATTTTGTAACACCAGTTCATACAATTCTTACCAAGCCAATAAATACCTGCACACATGCTCTGACCTTCTTTTCCACTTGTTTTGCCTTTGTTTTGCAACAGATGATTGAACCATCACAGGGCTTTTTTGTTCTTGAACTCCACTTGTTCCAACAGTAGCTGAGTAAGTCCTTAATTAGCCAGCAATTGTCTTGTCCAGTACTGGCAGAGAAATCATCAAAAACCATTTAAGGACCGAATGAAAGGTACTGCATCCTGTTAAAGACCAGAGAGTTTTTCATGACCCTTCACCAAGTAACAGCATTTAATTTGTTCAGAATCAGCTGTTGAAATTATCTGCTGAAACTTTAATGGGATGGAAAATTCCTTTGTTTGTCATAAATATGCACAGTATCAAACCCAGGAGGCAAAACCTACATTTTAAGGCAGAAAAATCTTTTAACAAAAAAGCCAAAGCTATGAAAATACTTTCTCTATAAAAACGGAAATAAGCAATCAATTGGGAAAAGTAGTAGATTCATCCCAAAGTTAATACAGAGAAAGCCAGGAAATATTATAACTATATGGCTGCATTTCCCACAGAAACATTTCACTGGGCCAAAGTGCACAAATACATCAAGGCATATCTTCAAATACAGCTA